GGGATATGTGCTCCGCTGTCATTCTTTTGCCCCCCCCCCGTTTCAGAAAAATTCGGCGGTGGGTTCCACATTCCCCCCCCCCCCAGGCCACGATCCCTCGTAAGTTACGCCACGTTTGCGCCCCCGAGGCCACGATCCCGCGCGAATTACTCCACATTCGCGCCCCCGAGGCAACGATCCCTCGTAAATTACGCCGCTGTCGCGCCCCCAGGCGGCCACGATCCCTTGTAAATGACGCCGCATTCGCGTCCCCGAGGCCACGATTCCCCGCACATTACACCAAACTCGCGCGCACCCCCCACGCTACGAATCCACCTCGCGGAAGCTGCCCAAAGGCGCCACTCCTTCTCCAGAGCAGAAACAAATTCGCCAGCCCAGAGATTGCCTGAAGCAATCCCCAGCCGTTCCGGGCCAAGGGCGTGCGAAGATCTCCGGTAACTGGTTAACAATAATCTAGTTCGCGCGCGAGGGGCCGCCCCTGGGGGTCCCCGGACGAAAAATATTCCGGGACATCCCCGGGACACCCCCGGGACACTTGGATCAGAGATGCCAGACCGGGCAATTTTTCGACACCCCTCACGAGGATCGTGGCCTCCGAGGGGAGGGGCGCAATCGACTACCCCCCCTCCTGACCCAAGAGGTCCCCAAGACTGCCCAAGAGGCCCCCGAGACGCCGAAAGAGCGCTCCAAGACGCCGATGATGACCCCAAGCCAGTCCAAGAGGCCTCCAAGTGGCCTCCAAGAGGCCTCAAAAGAGGGCCCGAGAGGCCCAAATCATGAATTTTACGATGGTTTCGGAAGGATTTTGGCCTTGTCGCCTTTTCGGCCATCCGATGCTCCAAGACGGCCCAAGAGGCCCCAAGAGCGCCGCAAGACGGGCCAAGAGGCTTCCAAGAGGGCCCCAAGAGGGCCCAAGAGGGCCCCGAGACGGCCCAAGAGGCGCCCAAGACGGCCCCAAGAGGGGCCCAAGAGGGGGACCACGAACCGAAAACTCGAGCCTTCCACCCCAAGAGGGCCCCAGGAGGCCCCGAGAGGCCCCCAAGAGGCCCCCAAGAGGCCCCAAGAGGCTGCCAAGAGGCCCCCAAGAGGCCCCAGGAGGACCCCAGGAGGCCCAAAAGAGGCCCCAAGAGGCCCCAGAAGTTCAAAAATGCCTCCCAGGCGCCCCCGAACGGCTTCTCAAAAGACCCTAAGAGGCCTCCCAAAGAAGCATCTTGACGACGACCCTGTTTTTGGCTCCAAGAGCAACACAAGATGCCAACGAGAGGCTTCCTCCTCCGCCCCGTCCCCTTCCCCTTCCCCCTCCTCCTCCTCCTCCTCCTCCTCCTCCTCCTCCTCCTCCTCCTCCTCCTCCTCCTACTACCTATCTTCATCCTCCTCCTCTCCTTCTCATTCTCTCCTCCTCCTCCCCTCCCCTTCCCCATCCTCATCTTCCTCCTCCTCCTCCTCGGCGGCGCCACAATGGCCCCGGGCCCACGGCGAAGCAGTAGCGATCATGCAACATGGGCCGGCGGAATGAGCGAAGCGATTAAATAACCTTCCCAGAGATTGCCTGAAGCAATCCCCAGCCGTTCACAGAGCGCTTCCAGTGAACAACTGGAGGAGAATGCCAAGAAGGCAACAAAGCGTTCAACAACAAATTCGACATCTCAATCTGTTTTGCTTATCGCCAGCCGCCCTAGCATGACGTTCCCGAATGTCATCAAGACGGCGCCCGAACACCCCAATATAGCTCTGATGTATCCCATTCTGATAGAGGGGGGCCGGCGGCAGGGGGCGAAACCCTTACGGATTATCATTATTCTTCGTATTATTATTACGACTATTATGAATACTATTCATATTATTCGCATTCTGATTCTTATTACTACTACTAATACTACTATTCGTATTATTATTGTTTGTATTACTGTAATATGTATGTGTGTATATACTGCCTTTAACTATGTACACTACTTAAATATATGTATATACATATTTGTACGTGTCTGCGTGTCCCATGCGTCCCCCAGCGAGGCCCACCGAGGCGCATCCTGGACCACCCTGCGAAAGCAACAGGACGCACGACACCGACAAGGCGATCATTTTCCTGTTCATTGTTTGGCCGATCGGCGCGAAACCTCGGCCCCCCCAGAGACATTCACACACACACGCACACATCTATATATATATATATATATCTATATATATGTGTGTGTGTGTGTTCATCTTCCTGCTCATCTTCCTCCTCCTGCTCATCTTCTTCCTGCTCCCTCTCATGATGCTCTTTTCCCTTCTCCCTTGTCATGATCTTCATCCTGCGCTCCTTCCCAAGGGGCAGCATTGAGGTACGCATTCAAAGGATGCCAGCGTGGAGGAAAGGAGGGAGGAGGAGGAGGAGGAGGAGGAGGAGGAGGAGGAGGAGAGAGGATGGAAGAGGACGAAAGATGGGAGTCTGTGAAACAACGAAACACTTTGTATCCTTTAGTTCTGCAAGGCCCAATGCTCACCGCGTCCTCCCTCTCAGCACCCCTCTCTCTGCCTCCGCAAACAAAGAAAAACCAAGCATCCACAGTGTTTGGCGCCCTCGATGCAAGGCCATGCTTTTTTGTTGCTGCGTTTGTTGTTTGTTTGGTCTGTGAAACAGCGAAACACTGTGTCTGTTTGTTTTTGTTTTGTTTTGGTTTCGGGAAACAGAGAAAGGGGTGCTGGGAGGGAGACCGCGGCGAGCACGGGGGCTTGCAGCACCAAAAACAACTAACAAAACACCCAACACACACAGTGTTTCGTTGTTTTACAAACAAAAACAACTATACATAGTGGTTCCTTGCATCGAGGGCGCCAAACATTGTTTTTTTCTTTTTGGTTTTGGGAGGCAGAGAGCGGGGTGCTGGGAGGGGAGGCCGCGGCGAGCATGGGGGCTTGCAAAACAAACATAACTAAAAAACAACATACACAGTGTTTCGTTGTTTCACAAACCAAAAAAAAACAAACAAAAACAACAATACATAGCGTTTCCTTGCATCGAGGGCGCCAACCATTGTGTATGTTGTTTGGTTTGGGGAGGCAGAGAGAAGGGTGCTGGTAGGGAGGCCACAGCGAGCATGGGAGCTTGCAAAACCAGAAACACATAAAAGCACAGTGTTTCGCTGTTCCACAGACCAAGACCAGAAACAAAACATACACAGCGTTTCCTTGCATCGAGGGCGCCAAACACTGTGTATTTTTGTTTGGGCTTTGGGAGGCAGGGGAAGGCTGCTGGTGATCAGATACATGGAATAAGTGATATGGGATGCATGGAAGAAGAAGAAAAATATGTATGTTCATGTGTGGAGGAGGAGGACGAGGAGGAGGATGACGAGGAGGAGGATGAGAAGGAGCAAACGATCAATGATGGATTTGTGGTTTTGGTGGTTTTGGGGGTGCTTGGGGGGAACATATATATATATACACATATATATATATATATAAGAAGGCATATTATTATTACGAATGTTAGTATCATTATCGTTGATATTATTCTTCCTGTTAGTATTACCAGCATCAGTATTATCAGCAGTACTATTAGTGTTATTCGTATTCTTATTACTATGGTGTTGTTGGTATTCTGATGATAAGTATTAGTAGTACGATGATTATGCTTATGCTGTTGATGTTGATGATGACTCATTAATATAACATGCTCCTCGGTGGTCCTCGCCGAGGAAATATGCGCACGTCTGCGCGATGCCAAGAGCTCGCTGAGCCCGGGCGCCCGGCGGCACCGCCGCCAGGGCGCCCGCCCGCCCGGGAGCGCGCCTACCCTCTGAAGGGAAGGAGGCCTGCCGCATCTGCACCCTCGAGGCTCCTCGATGGCCCTCGAGGGCCCGCGCAGAGAAAAAGGAGGAGGAGGAGGAGGAGGGGGAGGAGGAGCAGGAGGGGGAGGAGGAGGAGGAGGAGGAGGAGGAGGAGGAGGAGGAGGAAGAGGAGTAGGAGGAGGTGGAGGAGGAGGAGGAGGAGGAGGAGGGAGGAGGAGGAGGAGGCACACGTCCGAGCGATGCCAAGCTGGGCGGCCCGACAGAGGCCGCGGCCCCCGGAGGCCGGGGTGCCCCTGCTGGCCGCAGGGGGCTCCCGGTCGCGACGGCCCCGTCGTGGGGCGCAGCAGGGCGGGCTGGAGAGGCGTGCCCTCTGGGGATCGTCTGGCCTGCAGGATCCTGCGGGATCCTGCACCCAAGCCCGGGGCACTGCGAAGGATCCTGAAAGGTCCTGCAGGATCCTGCGCCCAAGCCCGGGTCAATGCGACCCTGGCCCTGCAGGATCCTGCAAGATCGGGCGCTCTGGTTGACCCCCGTTTCCCCGTCTCAAGGCTCCCGATGCCCGTGGAGGGTGAGCCTTCCGTCGACGCTGCCAAGGGAACTGCAGACGTTCGGAGGGTTATGCGGCAAGCAAGGCGCGCTCTTCCACCATCGGGCGGCCGAATCCGCCCTCTCCAGATTTCGGAGCGCGCGTGGGGGAACGGGGAGGAAGAAGGGGAGGAAAAGAAGGACGAGGAGGAGGATGGGGGAGGAGGAGGAGGAGGAGGAGGAGGAGGAGGAGGAGGAGGAGGAGGAGGAGGATGAGGAGCTCCCGTCTGTCCGAGTGCTGAGGGCTGGGAGGATAATGCTTTCCTCTCGGCGGGCGGGAGCGAGGCTGGCGTGAGTTGGGAGCCTCGCTGGCCTTGCGCTTTGAAATGTCTGGCGAGCGCGCGCATGTGCGCGCGCCGAATTCCAAGGGAAGGCCCCGCCACGGGCCTCCGATTTTGCGCATGGCACGAATGCTTCGTTCTCCACCTTCCGTCCTCCTCCCACCCTCCTCCTCCTCCTCCTCCTCTCCTCCTCCTCCCCTCCCTCCTCCTCCTCGCCCCCGTCCCCCCTGCGCTCTCCTTCTTCCTCTTCTTCCTCCTCCTCCTCTTCTCCTCCTCTGCTCCTGCTCATGCTCGTCCTCCCTCCTCCTCCTCCTCCTCCTCCTCCTCCTCCTCCCGACCCCTCGGCGCCCCGATGCCGCGTTCAGTGCGCCCCGGCGGCGGCCAGCAGCCGGAAATGCCCCAGGAAGGCCGCCCAGTCGAGCCGCGCGCCCGCGCCGTCGCGGCCCGCCAGGTCCGCGAAGACGTCCGCCGCGGCGCCGGCGCCGACGCCGCCGCCGCGCACGCAACGCCCCGCGAGGAGCCTCGAGAAGTCCTGCTGGCTCAGGAGACCTCGCGAGGGAGGCGAGGCAGCGCCAGGGGCAGAGAGCTCGAGGTTCGAGGCTTACGGGCATGGTCGTCGGGTCGTTGGGCGGTTGCCCAGGCTCGGGGGGGGCTTCCGGCAGCCGCGCCTCGCCGAGAGCGTTCCCGAGGGGCGCCCGACGATAGTCGCCACGAGCTGCGGCCCGTGGCCCGAGAGCAGCGGATCGACAGCCGAAGTCGGGGGGGAGGCCCGAGAATCTGGCGTGGAACTTCGCTCACACTGGGCGAGGCTTCGCCCCGTTTCTCTTCCTGCTCCTCCTTCTGCTCCTCGTCCTCCTCGTCCTCCTCGTCCTCCTCGTCCTCCTCCTCCTCCTCCTCCTCCTGCTCCTCCTGCTCCTCCTGCTCCTCCTGCTCCTGCTCCTGCTCCTCCTCCTCCTCCTCCTCCTCCTCCTCCTCCTCCTCCCTCCTGCTCCTGCTCCTGCTCCTGCTCCTGCTCCTGCTCCTGCTCCTGCTCCTGCTCCTGCTCCTGCTCCTGCTCCTGCTCCTGCTCCTGCTCCTGCTCCTGCTCCTGCTCCTCCTGCTCCCTCCTCCTGCTCCTCCTGCTCCTGCTCCTGCTCCTCCTCCTCCTCCTCCTCCTCCTCCTCCTCCTCCTCCTCCTCCTCCTCCTCCCCTTGGGGCCATCACAGATCGGCGCGGCTCGAGCAGAAAGGCCGCTGGGAGGCGGGGCCCAAGGCTCTGGCAGTGACCCTCGCAATGCTGCGTCTGCATCGTTGTGCGCCACGTCGGCTCCGAGGCGAAGGGCCGGTCCACTCCAGTGGGCCGAGCATCCAGAAGGACGCCAGGGCAGGAGGAAGATGAGGAGGAGGAGGAGGAGGAGGAGGAGGAGGAGGGAGGAAGAGGGGGATCAGGAGGAGGATTTTTTAAACATGAACCATGACTGGCACAGCGGTTGGGCTCGCCAGTAAAGAAAGGCCTTGGCGGTGACTGAGCGGGGCGGGCCGCGCGGACACAGGAACGCCCAAGGACAGACGGAGCCACCAGGCCCCCCGGCGCATACACGAGCAGCTTGCAGGGGAGCCTCGTCCTCCTCGCCTCCGAGAGACGTAGCAGCGCTCTGCACCTGGCCCGTCAAGAACGCGTATGGAACCTGGCGGGGAAGCTCGCCTTTGCGAGCTGAGCTTCAGCGGCGTTGCGAACAGAGAAGCGTCGTCGTAGCGTCAACAACTGATGCCGACGCTTGACGCGGTGCATGGGGCCAGGTGTAGTTGCACACCAGGCCGGAGCAGCACCAAGCCTCCACCCCGCGAGAGGGGGGGGAGGGGTGGGGATGAGCAACAGTCGGGATGGACTGGCTTTCCAGATCCGCCCCCGTGCCCAAGAGACCCACGGGGCTGCCCCTGCGCAGCTGTCACTGTGGATGCCCACAAAGACCCCCGCAGCCGTGCAACAGGGACAACCGCAAACCAAAAAGAGAAAAGGGGGGGGGAAGAGGCGACGTCGGGAAGGCGGAACCCCAAAGCTCGGGTTCCACGGCTGGCTGCGTAACCAGCACCGCCTACCAGAGCAAACGCCCAGCCCCCCGAAGGGACCCCAGCGGAGGGCCAGGGCGGAACGAAAGAGATGTCTGGGACTGAGCAGCAGTCGGGGTGGACTGGCAAACCCACCCCCCCCCGTGCCCGAAGTCCAAGGGGTGAGCCCTACAACACGCTGCAGTGAAAAGGACGGCCAGCCTCTCCAGGCTGGCGGAACCCCGAAGCTCGGGTACCGGGGCTGGTTGCGAGACACCAGCACCTGTCAACCTGCAGAAGACTAAACCCCAGATCGAACCTGCAAGGGGCCTAGACGAAACGAAAGCCTCCGAGATGTACGTGCAACGCTCCTTCCCTCAATGGTGGGGTGCCTGATGCGTGTGCTGGGCGCGCTCTTTCTCTCTCTCTCTCTCTCTCTCTCTCTCTCTCTCTCTCTCACACGCGCAAATATGTGATGTGCCCTAGGCGACGCCAGGACGACTCGGCCATGCCCACCTCTGGTGTAAAGAACGCCAGGACGAAGAGCAAACCTCATCCATGGTGTGGGCGGAGGAGGAGGAGGAGGAGGAGGACGAGGAAGAAGAAGAAGAAGAAGACTCGGCCTTGCGCGTGGTCTCAGTCTGACCTGCCACTCTCGCCAAGCCGTCGGCCTGGCTCTAGGCATTACCTCTCGCAGTCGTCTCGTGCGTTCACGATCCGAGGTGGGGTAGCACGCACCGTGCAGCCTCTCATGCGTGTGTATGAAGACCGTCGCAATTTTTATATCAGTCCCTGGGCAGGGGGTGATGCCCCTCGGGCCTCACAGGAGGCCGTGGCCGTCTGGCGCTGCTTGCGCCTGGCTGGCCTCGGAGGCACTCCACCTGCCCTGAGCGGTTCCCTCGGCCCCCGAAACGCAGCTGGAAACCACATCGTAAACGCCTTCTCAATCACATTGGGAGGCCCAGGGTCCCGCAAGCTCAGAAAAAAAGGGTGAGAACGCAAAAAGGACCATGGGTGGCGGCGAAGAGAGAGGAAAGGGAAGGGCGGCAGCGCACAGGGGCGCGGCCTAGTACAAGCACGGGTGGGCGCCTATGCCCATCCACGAGTCGACCCCCTCGGCGATGATGGGTAGCTGGGAGAGTGGTTGGAGTAGGTGGAGCTATGCGCGTAGCGCATGTCCCCACCGCCTTCACAGAAGCCGAGGCCGTAGCCTTCTAGGCCACTGGAGATGGTCGTCACAGCCCCCATCCGTGTAAGAACAAGAATCACTCCACTGAGCCAAAGGAAGAGCAGAAACTCACGCCGATGAGGTCGGACCTGTCGCACTTGGGAAGCTCGATCTAAAAGAACGCCACCGCCTCTGAGCGTGTTCTCCGAGAACGTCCGATACGTATGGAGGTGTGTGTGGTCCTGCATCAGGGCAGAAGCGCGCGGTGACGTCTGGCGAGAGGTTACTGAGCCAAGACCCTGTCGCAGCCTGCGCCTCTTCCATCTGAAAAAGAAAGCCAACCCAGTGACGGCGTGAGCAGACACAAGGACCATCATGCACGTAAACGGGCGTTCCAGAGATCTGAATAGTATGGAGCCGCCGAGCATTCCCAAAAAGAAAGGAAAATATGTTATGAAATACTGGCTGGTCTCACGCTGTGCTTGTTCTCCCTGTGAGACCCGTTCACGCAGAGCCGCCAGCCTCTCTTCCCAGTGCGATACTAGTGGTGTCCTCGTCGTTCATCGTTTCTTGACTTTGTCCGCTTTCTTGCCTTTGTCGAGAAACCTCTGTGCCAGTTATTCGAAATGGCCCTGAAAAGCGGCCCCGGACTTCATGCGCCCAACCAAGACCACCAGGCAGTTCGCCACCGCCCGCTCGATCGCCAGTTTGCTCATCGCCAATGAAATCGCCTCGGTATGTCATCCACCTCATCCTCGTCCAGCCTGCCCCCCTCGTGCGCCTCGCTCCTCGTCGGCGGTGGGATCGAGAAGGTCCAAAGACTCGCTCTAATAATCGTGAAATCGATGTCCGTCCAGTCATCGTAGTCGTCGCCGTAGTAGAGACGGAGCAGGGGGGAATCCTCGGGCGCCATGTCTTTGAACTCCTCTGAAGATCGATAAGCAAAAACCAGATCCGAGAAGACTTGCTGAGCCCAAGGATTCGCCTCAGTATATAAGCACCCCTCGTTCGTGATGGAGTCACGGTCTTGTCGCACTCGTATGTATACGTGTTATCCTCCCCTCCATCCCCGAAAGTAAAGCAGACTGTAAGGAGGCTGTAATACTCATTCTCTTGATACTCGTGGTATCGTACCAGAAAGTTTGATATCTGTCCCAGACCAGTTCGGCCCGCCTGGAGCCGCTTCGTATTTACCACCTGCAGGGACCCCGAAGTAGTGAACCATCCTCCCAAAGTATTGATCGACTGGAGTCGTCGCCCTGGTGCCTGGGGCACCTTGCAAGTATGAATATAACGTCCTTGTGGCACATGTACGAAATCAATTCTCGAAGAGTGCGAGTGTGCTCCGTAGTGCATGGGGCCAGCTGGATAGGATGTGTTGGCCGCAATCATATAGGACTCCGATAGACACTGATGCCAGGGCCGCCCTGCGATACCCTCTTCCTCCGCCTCGTACCTCCCCACTGCAAGGTCGGACTCTTCACCGACGTAGTCCACGTCCTCTATCCGAGCCCCGTCGACCAGATCATCTTTTGAGTGCCCGAGCTTATCTTTTATATCCACGCCAATCGTAGGTGTACCTCGTCCTCCCGCGCTCTCAATGGTACTCTTGGCCCATTGTATCATCGCCTGGAAGAGCACTCGGTAGCTAGTGTACGTTCCTCTGGTCGAGGACCTGACGGGGAGGTAGAGGACCATCGGCATCAGGTCCATGGTGCCCGACTTTAGTCGTCTACCAGCCAACTTAGCTGGTGGGCAATATACTCTGCGAAGAAACCCTTGTGGAAAACGACGTCGGTGAAAAATGTGCACTCCGCAACTCGTAATGGATGCTCTCGTCCAGCCGAGGAAGGCCTCCCAGTGCGCTGGGTGGCTGTACAGGATTTGGCCGCCTTCATGCTGCCGTCGAAATGCTCCAGGTAAGAGTAGCACGCCAACGTTGCTGGATTCTGTGGATATATCCTGGGCTCGGACGGCGCCCGTGATGTACATGGGGTTGTAGGTCACCACTTGAAACTTAGCCTGCGGTGGGGGGTTGGCGCCGCCATTGTCATTCTGCCTCGTGTAGATCTCGATGGCGGTCACGGCGAGGAGCCACCGCATGGCGGCGGCGCGCGCTCCCCTCCCTGGAAGGTCAGGCGGAACCCCAGAGACGAGACAACACCATTCTGCTGCACTCTGAAATGTGTGGTACAGAAAGTTTCAGTAGCCGCGTCATGTGTTGGTTGTTCGGGCCGCGGCAGCGGCTGGAGGAGGAGGAGGAGGAGGAGGAGGAGGAGGAGGAAGAGGAGGAGGAGGAGGAGGAGGAGGAGGAGGAGGAGGAGGAGGAGGAGGAGGAGGAGGAGGAGGAGCGG